AATATCTAAAAAGATATGAGGTTCTTTCTTATGTTCTTTTTAACTAATAACTAAATATTATAGATCTTTTTTCATAGGTAATAAATATAAAAGGTTGTCATAGACATATATATTTAACTAGATAAAAATTATTAAATAGAAAATAAAGATAAGTAAATTTGATAATATCTTCTAGTAAAGCTTCTTAGAAGCTTTATAGATATAGAATTGACTTTAAATGTGTTTATAGTTGATTGAAAAGTTAGAAATTTGGCCAACAAGGTAGCCACATATTATACGTATTAGTAGCTTGTGATACAAGCTAACCATGTGGTATATTTGTAGAAAACTTATCTTGCAAGTTAGACATGTGTCTTGTAAATTGGATAAATATTAGAGATTTTATAGAACATTGTCATATAACTTCTAATTAAATAGTATATATGGAAGAAATAAGCAAAGCTCTCTTTATTCTTGTCAACACCTTTTTAGTTTTTAGGCTTATTTCAAGAGTCTCAAATCTTTTTGTTGTTGTTAAAAGTCATTCTAGTTTCAATATTATTTTAATTTTAAGTAAACATCTATTTTTTAAAATTGATATTCAAGAATATTGAGATCTTATTTATTGTGATTTAAATCCTTGACAATGATCAATATAAATTTTGATCTTAATATCTAAATATTTATATTTAATAGTAAGTAAAATTATTAAATCAATTAAGATAATTACTTTTAAGACTTATTAAGATTCTATTCTTACAAAAAAAATTCTATTAAGATTTTTGTAACTTAAAAATATTTCTAAATTAAAATAAATATTTGAATAATAAAAAATACTCTATAATTTTAATATTTCTATAACTAAATGATTTAAAATTATATTTTAAATTAATCCATCAATTAAAATCTATTCGTAGGACTCACAACATTATTCAAAGAAATGATGCAATTACAAAATAAAAAGCATGGTTGCCAAAGATAATGTTGTATTAGAAAATAAGTTTCTCTTGCTACAATAGGGACTATATGACTAGAATCTTAAGCAACTCCCATTAAAGGTTCTATTTTATTGTTTGATTCCTAACCTTACTTTATAATAGAAATTTTTTTAAGACCAAAAAATTATAAAGTCTTTGCTTTGTTAGATTGAAGAACCTTAGTTTGTTTTGTAGATAAATATTTTATTAAAAAAAATATTGTTAATTAAGAATATTAAAAATGTATATATAAAAGTCATATATGGTTGTTTGTATCTTCTTAAAAAATTATTCATAAAACTACTCTTTTAGATGTAGCAATTAATAGATAGAATAATTTAATAATATTTGATATAATTAGATCTTCTTCTATTCTAGTTATTTTAGATTTATTATTGCTAAAAAAATATAATTCTCAAATAGATTGAATTTGTTGTAATCTTAATTTTTATCATAGTGTAATCAAGTACTTTTTTATTTAAATAAAAATTCATAAGTCTAATACAATTAAATCTTTATTTGTATGTGCAAGAACTTTCATACATGTTGCAAAAAAATGATCACCATTTGTTATTTATATTGCACTTAATTCCATAATAGAAAGACTTCAAGTGGCATTCCAAGCTAGTATTAAGATTATTAAGACATTTTTTAGAAGAAGAATGCAACTCTACTTTATTATTTGACTCAAAAAGACAAACTTAAGTAGAATGAAGAAGCAAAAGCATAATTAGAAGTTTTAAAAAATAAATTTTACTTCTAAATTAATCTTATATTATGTTGACTTTTTTATTTATTTTTTTTTCAATAAAAACACATGCATCAAATTTTACTTTTAGTAAGATATCATCATAAATAGGAATAGATGACCAACTTCATTTAATAGCTTTTATTTGAAAAAAAATTATCTAAAACTAACTTAAGACCAAGGATCTTTATAGACTTCAATAGGTGTAATTGATATACAATTAGATTAAATTATTCACAAATAAGAAATGGTCTAAGTGTATGGTAATCCAACTCATCACGTATGCCACTAATCTTGATATTATAATAAAGTAACAATATCTTCTTGCTTATGTGAAATTGAATTTGTTCCTTGTAATAAGCATCTACATGATTTTATTATTATTATTTTTGAGTTTTTTGAATTATATTTTTGTTATTGCATATAATTTTAATAAATAATTTTTCAAATTTTTTGCCATAAGACTATCAATTTTTAAATAGTAAAACATATCAAATTATAAATAAAAGATCCATTCCATATTCTACAATTTTTTTTTTGAGTCATACAAGATAGTAGATATAACAAAAAGAAGAAAAATAATCAAGAATTTGAAGTCTAAGAACTTTTAGTCTTAAGGTGATACCAAAATCTATTAAAATATCTTGTATATTGGCATAGATATGATATTAATGAATGTACATGGAAATCAGCTAAAAATCTTGCTAATGCAGTAAATAAGGTTGATGCTTTTCATTAAAATTATTTATTAAAGTCAAGATGAAGAGTCAAAATTTTCTTGATGTAAAAAAAAATAAGGTTTATTGAAGGTTAAATTTTGTTTTTGATCTTCTATCTTTGTTTATAGTTTTTATATATTTATAGCACTAAAAAGATAAAGAATAAAAAATCAAGAGATTTAACTTAAGCATTGTTGTTCATTAAGTTATTAGACAAAGCATTGAGATTGTGACAATCTTTTAGATAACATAATAGATATGAAGACTTTTAAGAATAACATGTTTTTCTTCAAATAGATGGTTAGATATAATATATTTGATATCAAGATCTTTGAAGAGAATCCAAATATTTTGTAATATTTTTGAAAGTAAAAATCATTTTTGATAGTGTTTCAAATGTTTAATTTGAATGAAGTTACAAATGTGTTAACAATAATTGAATATCAAAATAATCTTAATGCCTTGGTATGGAACATTATTGATGACTAAGAAGATCCATCAACTATCTTTGAAGAGAACAAAGATTAGCGCATGTAGTAAATATAATTTATTGCATTTAGACTTCTTCAATATGTAATCTCTGCATCTTATGGAACTTGTTACTAAAAAAAGAAGCAATATCATAGATATACATAATAATCTATATAAAAAGTATTAGACAAAAAATAAGTATCTTATGGAGAAGTTTCTTAAAAGCTTTATAAATACAAATTTGACTTTATACATATTTATAGTTAATTGAGAGATTAGAAACTTAGTCAACAAGTTGGCTACATATTATATATGTTGACAACTTGTAGTATAAGTTAATTATATAGTAGACACATAAGAAACTTTTCTTACAAATTAGACATGTATTAGAAGTCATATAAAATATTGTTATGTAATTCTTAATTAGATAGTATATATGGAAGCAACAATGAAGCCTTATTTACTATTATTAATGCATTTTTTGTTCTTAGTCTTATTTCAAGAGCCTCTAATTTTCTTGTCTTTGGCAATAGCCATTCTAGTTTAATATTATGACATCTTTGAGTAATTATCTATTCTTTTTAAGTGACACAAAAGTATATTAATCCTTTAGTTCTTTGTAATTCATATCCTTGACATTTGATTAAAATTTAATTATGATTATTTAATATTTTATTAAGATTTTATTAGAATTTGATTCTAATTTTATTAAAAATTATTAAGATTTTATTAGGATCTGATTAAAGTATATTAAAGATTATTTAGGATTTACTTTAATTTGAATAGAGTATAGTAAGATATATCCAGAATTTTTTTAAGACTAATTGGATGAATTTAGAATAATTGGAAGACTATTTAGATTGCCTAAGGTTGCTAAGAGGTGTTTCTAAATACCTTATGTATTATCTTGAGTTGTAAATCAAACTTCAAGGTAAGTTCAAATTCTTCTACAATCAAATGCCAATTATATTTCCAAATTATCTTTTACATAACTTAACATTATGTTCTTTTTCAAATATACTTAATATTCTAAATAAAAAAGAAGAGCCAAGGTTTAGAATCTACCTAATTCTAAATATTTTGGTGTTTTAATCTATTGGTATTAAGTTAGTTTTTTATAAACTTTCTAATCAAAAACTTATTTTATCTAATCTATATAGTAATATTTTAGATATTCTATTTATTGTGAAAATATATTTAAAAAAATCTTTTACTAAAAACTACATATATTACATTTAGCACTCAAAAACCAAAAAATTACAAAATTAAAGATAAGAATAATTAAATCTATTTAAGTAAGATTTTAATGTATAAAAATAAATTATAAAATAAATGTATTAAGGTCTAAATAATAATAAAATAAATATAAAACGAAATTAAGATTAAGAATTTACAACAGAAGTTTTTGTGGTTAACCTTCTTAAGAATGTTAAATAAATAATTTTAATAAATTCAATAGCTTATCATACCAAGGTCAAACTTTTTTAAAATATTGAAATCTTTTACCTTTCTAATTAAACGATTTTATTTCTTTTTTTAAAAAATTATTCCAAGAATTTTGCTTATGAAGTAAAAATAATAAAAGAAATCTCATATATATATATATATATATATATATATATATTTATATATATATACAGAATAAGATTTTATTGCTTCAAGGTTTAGGTCATTTAAGCATCCAAAATAAGTATTTAAAAAGATCATACTTTCAAATTAAAAGCCATCACTGGATTTTAAGAACAAAAAACCGTGTTGAATTCTTCCGGAACGGTTTTCCATTTTGTGAGTGGTTTGTTAACTGGTTTAAAGAAAAGGTGCGGTTGTGAGGACAAGCAAGCACAAGGTGGCACTAGGTTGTGAATACTCGTGATACTACCATCAAGCAGCCAAGAACCTGCGTGTTTCACCATAAATGCTTCGAGTATTACCACGACTTGAATCATGTCCACTGAGTACAGCAGCACTTTCGAAGCATCCAAGTGTCCAGGTGCACAGAGGATGAATCCAAGTGTTCAAATGCTGCTGAACACAACAGACAGGTGGATCCAGGTAAAGTGGATCGAAAGGGGTGCATTTAAGGAAGCACAGTTCAGACGAGTTGTATAAATAGAAATGGATATAACCTCCGAGTTACATAAAGTGCACACTGGGACTCATCAACAAGTTGCGTCCAACATGAAATCACATAAGTCACTTCACGTCTACATACATGGTACAATTCTGCATGCTGGTGGGAAAATAATGAAGCCTAATGTTCCTACTCATAGAGGCCAAATCTGGATAATTTATAACTTGAGAACCAACTGGGGACCGAATGACAAAAGAGTGGTCTGTCAACGGTGGGTACAAATTATACTCGCAAATTCAACATCGCTGCTGCACAAGGCCGACTAGGTGGACTAAGTCTAGGTCCTCGGAAAAGCTTACTTACAGGAATGAGGATAGTTAAGCGCCTGAATGATCAATGATCGAGAGTGGGTGGTGGCTGGGAGGTGGACATACACCGACGAAAGGGGAAGTGACGATCGTCATACATACCGTATAGCCGAGATTAGATTTGCATCTGCTAAAGAAGCTCTACTGGTTGACATCTCATCTCTTAGAGAGGAAAGCGATGTCTAAGTTACACAAATATGTATGTATATAGCCTGGGTATATATATCACATATCGTTGTGGACCTTGGTCAAAATCCGCACTCACGGTCGAAATTCAAAGGGTGTCGTATCAGTGATCTGCATCGATCTTAACAGCGACCTCGACAAATCGGATCAATGGCGAGTTGAAAACCACTCGGTGAACTGGTGTCACCGATTTGAAACGGGGTAGTATGTGGCTGTAGCCGTGATCTTGGGAATGGCCGCGATTCGTCCAAAGAACCCCACGATCATTCATGTCAAAAAAAAAAAAAAAAAAAAAAAAAAAGAAAGAAAAGGTGGGACTGTGCCTGATCAGTATCGAAGTGACGAAGCTGTCACTGAGAGCCTCCAGAGACTTCTTCATCGATATCCTCTTCGGAGACCGCATCCTCCTCGTCTTCACACGAGTCCATTCCATGGGCAGCGTGTCCATTCCCGAAAGCTCTAATGTGGTCCTTCAGGGATCGCTTGTGCTTGAAATCCGATCCGCATGTGCAGAACCAGAGCTTGCCACAGTTCTTCTCATGGGTTCTCCAGTCGCCGCGCACTGCAAATGCCTTGCTGCACTTGCGGCACATGAAAGGCTTGATCCCGTGCTTCCTCTTGTAATGAGTCTGCAGGGTACGAAAGTCTTTCAAAGGCTTGGAGCGGGGGTGGTCGATGTTGTTGCGGCAGCCTGGTGCGCAGCAGTAGCACGGCAACCTCAACATGGCGGTGGGTTGGGTTCCTCGTAGCGATTCAGGACCTTTTCTGTACTGCGATCCATGACCCCACATATGCATCTGCGTATCCCACATCCATATCATCATCAGTACCGATCACCTCAAATTTTCATCCGAACTTTTTTCCACAGACCTCCAATTTTATCCTTGTGGATTTTCGGCGGCACGTGAAAAATAATTTACCTCGGGGTAGATGTATACTCTTGTTCTCTGAGAAGGTGGAGAGTTATAGCGAGGGAAAGAGGATAAATACTAAGAGATGGCGCTTTGTTAGCCTGATTCTTTACCAAGCATCTGGGTTGCATCACATAAATCTCCAGAATGAGTCAAAATGTGCAATACCAGCTTAATACAGTAATGGGTCACAACTTCGTCTAACCAGTGCATCTGAGACTTATACCCTTCGAGGAATAGGAGGATTGATCACGTCACTCTGTCGAACATTGAATACGAATTCAGAATAGTTTAGCAAGGCATCTTTCGGTTTAAGAAACAATTAAGAACCGGTCCTACCATGGAACTAAATGCGCTGTATACAGTTTACCACTTCATTATGATACGTCAACAGTAGACTCAACTCCTAATTAATACATCGTAAACTGTAGACTGCAATTGTCCAGTGCAGTGGACAGTCGCATCTGCATGAGATGAGTGAACTCTCTGGGAGCGACGACCCAAGACTTGACTGTATCAACATTCAGTGAAGCACCTAAAAGTTCAGGTTCTCCATTAAATGGTTCGGTAATAATGGAACACAACACCAAGTGTGGACCCTCGCATTCGACTTTAATAGGAGAGTTGAAGGAGCAATGAAAGTCGGAACTACCAACCTGCATGTTGTTATAACGATTAAAAGTCTTGTTGCAGACAGGACAAGAGAATTGCGTCGGACCGACGAGGATCTGAGCGGGAGTAGGGATCCAGTATTCTCCCTCGAGAAGTCGACCTCGCCCTCGTTGCAACCTCTCCCTCTCTGCCAAGCTCAACGAATCGTACACACTTGGGCTTTCGGTGGACCTTGACATACTCATAGCATCGGAGGAAGGAGGACCTATGTGCAAGGCCACAGTGACATTTTCGTCGGATTCTTCGGAAGCATGAGATGCCTCAGGCAAAAGAATGGCCGTCCGCATGACCGAGTCAGAGAGGTCGTCACGGCCGGTCGGGGGACTTAAGCTCAGGAATGGTAGCGGCTCGCTGGACATACTATTGTTCTGCAAGTGCCACCGCTGTCGCCATTCATGCTCGTCACGAGTTTGCTGGTTGTAAAACTGGTCGTGCGACTGTTGGTGAGAATTGCATGAATATCCATATTGATCAGCTGGCGGGTATTGCAGCTACATGCAAGAAAAAGTACAGAATCAGCACCCACAGCATTCCCCATTGACTTGAAACTATCAATTACTAGGGAAGATACACACTTTCCCGTAAGAGTTATATGAAAGCAATGTACACTCAGTAGCATGTAGAGAACCCCCAAAAGCAACTTAGCAGATTTGAAAGTCACGACCCTACTTACGACCGGTGTACGCAGTGTTTAGGCTCGTCCAAGAAACTGCATCTGCAACTGCAACTAAAGCCACCTAGAATAGACATTGATCCCAGGCAGAAAAAGGACACAACAATTCTTACTAGTCCGTCGAACGATGTAACTGAGATGGTCTGTCTAAAGCCGCACACTATACAAGTCAGTAAACAGCAATAAGCACTCATTACTAGCTTCTGGTGAAGCAACTGAAACAGTACAGTGTACGTCTTGGTCTTGTGTGATGAGAAATCAGAATGCTGCAAATGGACCAGACCACGGCACTCACGAATTCTGGATTTAACTTTGCGGAAGAGTAGCAACAGCAATAAGAGGTAATAGTCCTCAGCATAACATGTAGCTAGCTGACCCCATGACTAACCACTGCTGTACAGGAAGTCGGATCGACGAACACAAGACAAAGAAGAAAGCATCGACGTAACAATGAACAACCCCAGCTTGTGTAAGTGATGGAATGCTAGAACTCACCCGGTGAACGGGAGCTGGCGAACGAGGCTGAACTGGGAAGTAGGATTCGGAGCTGCTGCCCGTCGCAAAACCAGGATACACACCTTCATAAGGAATAGCCACAGGATAATGCGACAGTGGCTGCCCAGGTTGACTGGGCTTCAGCCACTCGCAGAAAGTCGTCGGGATGTTGGGGTGTGCGACAGCCACCGAGTTCTGAGGATTATATCTAGAACTCATCGCACCTGTGTTCTCTTGGGAGTTCTCCACCGTATCTATGTCGAATCCTGATGAAGTAATATTTGAGTTCTAGCAACTGACTGGGTTCCGGCCCATTAGCAATTGTGAAGTGCGAAATTCTTCAAAGAGTGAACTGGATACTGAGTTTCTGTATTTAGATTCAGTATTTCAGCACATCCGCTGAGAGGCGGATTGAGTTGCGTAGTGAAAATACAAGTGCCAGGTCTCGATGAGATATGTTACTGCGTGTAGTGGCTTAATCGACAATTCCAATGCTGTGAAGCTCCAGACGCTTCGACCTGGTTTTTCACTTCTCACTTGCTCGATTCTGCAGAACGATCAGAAGTTATGCAGGAATTAACTCCTCGACTCGAGCCCTTGCGGCCTTGCCTCCAGAATGCCTCTTTAGAAAACGGACTTCTTCCCCAAACTGACTTGTATTCACTTGGTAACTCTAAATGATGTATAGGTTGTCCAGCACTCGAAACCTGCACCACCAGGATGGTTGAGTTCTCTTCATGTGAGCACAGAACTCATGCATAGACAGAAACTTGGCTATCCCACTCTCGAGGGACTTTCTAACTCCAGCAACGGTTGGATCTGTGGTCGTCGCTGGAAAGTGAAATAGCAGGTTCTCTGGGCTTTTAAGAGACATGCACAAGAAAAGAATGGAGCATTGACGTCTCTATTTCCAACCTGAAGTTGTTGCTCCGGACTTCTAGATCGACTGAACGGAAACAGACCCTGCTAGCCCTTGGGGTGCGTGTCACTTGAGGACGGCGCTGGGTCAGATGAGACTAGTCCCAAAGATATCGGCTTGCAAGAAAGGTTCGATAGCAGCCGGATTGCACTGAAAGATCGATAATCTCCGGGGCCACTTGATTTATCAAACTGGAACCTCCAAAATCGTCATATATTTAAGGATTTCGCTGCACGAACGAAACCAGACACATGGATTTCTTTGAAAGCTGATGGCAAGATGCACTAAGGCAAGTTTTCAGGCTTCTTCACGTGCTCGGCGTTTGCCTCTTGTTTCTGCGTGTTTGACTAAAACTTGCAATCCTCAGCTACGTCGACCTTGATACCCTCCTATGTTTCGTCAGAGAACTGACAGCCGAACCGATAAGCTCAGCCGCTTTAACAGTATTAAGACCCGACGGGAGAAAGATTAAGAAAAACCCCCAAAGCAATAGACACAACGGTTACAAAATTTGATGTCGGAAGAAGAGTCCGACTATAGATTTACTTGTGTTTATAGCTCTCGAGATGCAGATGCGCCTCCACTACTGCACTTCAACTGATGATTTCTGCTGCGGCAGGAAAGCACCAATGAATTTGTGGACAACAGTAGCGTGATTTAGCTAGGTTGGTTGCTTTGTTCTCGAAAGAATGAATCAAATGCGAAGATTGCAGACCATTCAAGGATAGAAGAAACCTTTGAATTCGGGCTTGTTTTTCGAGAGCAAAGGCCTATTCCAGCTCTAATTAGAGACTGGACGGTGGGTGAAGCTTCAACTCTATTCTACTTGATGGAAGATTTTCTATATGAGTGATTGAATCTGACACTAGAGGATGTCGACAAGTAGGAGGCACTTTTTTCTGAGGTGCACCTAAGAGTTCAGTGCTGATAACTGCTACACATGAACCACACAGGATCTCTTTCACCAGACACTGCGCTCGCCACTGTTCACAATTTAAACGCCACAGATTAAGTAAAAATTGGCCACGGACTTCTTCTACGACTACTTCTAAACGGCGAGATATTGTGTGATCACTACACCTCAGGACCTTTCTGACGAGGTCACGCAACGTAATCCAACACTCCGACAGGGGCAGCTTACAAGTGCCTTGCAAAGCACCGCTTACGAGACTCTTAAAATTCTAAGAGCTTCTGAGATCCATGAACCTCTAAAATTTACGAAAAGGCGACGACCGTTTTGTAAATATGGAGTCGACAGTAAAGACGCGAGCGAAGACACTTGAGCTCAACACTGTCCGCTTTCGTCGATCCACTTGACAACTGAACGGATCGATTAGGCCTCCAGCAATGAGTACGAAGACGAGGAGAATGAGAGACTCAACAAATTAGCTCCGCCAATCTTCTGTGCACACCATGCGACACTCGCGATGATTGAAGTAAAGGCGAAACTGAGAACTCTAATTGATATGTTAAAAGTCACGAGTTAAAGATCCACTGCTCCTCCTCCGCTAGTTCTTCAACGCAAAGGTGGCCACACTCGAGGCTTCTCCGCCGCTGCGTCACCAGACCTAATGCTGCCGAAAGGCCTGCCGTGTCAAGCTCTAGCAGCATGCAGGCTGTTGATTCATGAGCTGGTCAGGGAGGATTCCGCCCTTATCAACCCTCGCCAAACTATCCAATTGGACTTTCCGTCTAGAGTAGTTCTCTACCCGTGCTGGCACCCTGTTCCCTCTCCTCCGCTCGCCGCTACAACAAACCACCTGGAGTTTTTCCCCTCGGCCCTGGTGATCCTGCGCCGCAACCACACAATTGAGCTCTGCTAGAAACGCTAAGTATTACTGCTACCCGGGGGCCTAAGCTACTGTTCTCGAATGGGTAGAGTTTCCCGACAAGCAGGCCAGCCAGCAGCGCGGCGCCTTTGACTGTTGTGCACCAAGTTGATGGAGCTGGAGTGCTGTTGTCATGATGGAAGGATTCCCTCTTTCACCGAGCGACGGATCATGGTGCAACCGTGGGGGTTGCCGGCAGGATGTTTGGCACCAGCGCAGGCCTTACATGTTTCTCCTTCGTTACCTGCACCGCCTCTCGTCCACTGCTCCCCGCCTCCATCCGTCTTCGTCGTCTTCGTCGCCGTCTGGCAGCGCTCTGGTAAGCTTCGTCAAGTGGACTATAATAAGCGCCCCACAGGAACCTCCCACCCTGTGCTGCTCAGCTCAGATGCATGATCGTCTTTGAAACCACCATTGCATGATCAGATGATGCCCCAGATTCTCTTAACACGCCCTCCTCTAATTAGCCCTCCCCTAATTAGCCCTCCCCTCCCGTTGCTTAATTCACTTACTTACTGCACACCCCCCTCCTCTCCATCTTCAAGCCCTCTGTGCAGCCAGCATGAATTATTAGTAATCCTACCCTGCAAGACTCATCTAAACCCAGTTGGGTTCTCCAGCTGGTTTCAGTATTCTAACAATTCTTTCTGCTATGTACAAACTTAGCCCTGCTTTTCATTCATATGGTGAAGGTTTAGACAGGCTAGATTGCTTAGGGTACAGTGACATGGTAAAATGTGAATCCAACCTCATGCTGGCTTGTACCTGTGTGATTCAGTTCTAAGTACTTGTGTAAGTCTGTTTGCCACTTCTCAACTCATACTCTAAACCTGACATACTGTTCTTTTTTCCTTTTTTCAAGCTGTTTGGCCAAGGCAGTGATAGCCTTGAAATATATGTAAATGTTGAAAGTGCTGTGTGGACAACTAAGTGAGTGACATGGTCCCCACTATACAATTCTCAACAGCCTCTTTGGTCTTTGAATCTAAAGAAACAAAGTAAAGCATAATTTTCACCCTTTAAAATATTGATTGTTGGTTGTTAGTACATAAAACAAACAGTTCAAAGTTGTATATTGCCAATGTTTGGAGCTTTATTCATTGGTGTGAGGTTCTTTCAATAAGCTTTATTGACATTCTAGGCCACTTGTGCTATGAAGGTTTGCCATGATAGGATACAAAAAAAAAAAAAAAAAAAAAAAAAAAATGCACAATTGCTTGCAAGTCTTAATAGAGCTTTGATACAAAGTTAAAATTCAAGAGTTAAAAGATTAGCATTAAAACCCATCAAAATATGGATAAACTGTTGTTTAACTTTCTATCTTCTATGTACATGATATTATTTCAGTGTCAGAAGAGTCCCAAAACTATGACCCACTTCAGCATAAAGGGAGAAAACTTTGTTATAATAATATGTGTTATAACTCATTGGAAAAATCAATTATTAAGATCCATATTTAGACAATTAGATTTTTGAAATAACTGATACGTTTATATTTTTAAACAAACATGAAATAAATCTAAGGCATTGGGTAGCTTACCACAATTCATTTGAAAGAAGCTTACCAGCAATAAAAACACTGAACATGATTTATCTACTTTTCCTTTTGATACAGATGATTAATACAAGTAAATTTCGTTTTCTATTCCAGCTTGAACTGATTGGGATTCCACTGGTAACTTATGTAGGTGTGGTTAAGCTTTATGTGACACACTTCCACAAGAAAAGCAAATGCCATGGCTCACATTTTCTGTGTGGATTTGGATGTTGATGCAAGGATCATGTAACAAGGCACTCCAAGTTTAAGCGAGCTATTTCAAAAAGGACCTCAATTACTCTATTCTAGTCTACTCCATGTGTAGGCTCTTTCTTGTAATTGGCAATTTCTAAGAGTGTAAAGTTGACCTACAATCATCTAATATTAAAATGTAAGTAAATAAATGATCACAACCTTTGCAATCTCCCAATATGGACTTTCAAATTTCTTTCCTCCATGTAACTTTTGAAAGCCTTCGGATAATACTAACAATTAAGTGACATGGAAATAAAACCGGAAATATATGAAAGATTGACTGTTTGAATAGGACAATGATTAGGGTGAACATCCTTGTCTTCCAAGGTAGACTTGCAGTTTAATTTATTTTTATAAATTGACTATCAGAATCATGAAACAAAATTAATAATTCAAACTTTGAGTTTTGGAAACAAGATCATGTACCATAAAATTTGTGAAAAGTTTATTTATATGTGCATACATGTATGTATGTATGTATGTGTATGTATGTATGTATATGTATGTATGTATATATATATATATATATATATAGTAGCATCATCCAAATATCTTGACCATGGTACCAACACAATAGTGTGAGATCAAGGCAAAAAGGCATATGTAGTTGATACAATTAACAGTGTATTACAATTTATAACATTGTCACAATTTTTGTGCTAATTTTCATTAGTTCATATTCTTATTTTTGGTGGCTATATATTTGCATATAGCAATAACACACACACACAACAATATAGAAATGAATGAGGTTGTGCAAATAAAAAAGAAAAGAAAATATGGTGCATTGAAAAATAAAAATAAGAATGAAATTGGAGAAGTAAATTATTCCATATATCAAACACATTAAACATAATAAAAACAATAATTTTTTATCTTAAATAAAATAACATTGATTTAATTTCTTTTGACATAGAAAGTGCGTCTTACAGTTGACAAGCATAGTGGATCTTTCATTTCACATCTTTCTAGTTTTTATTTCTAAAGCAAAACCAAAGAAGATTTGGAATCTTATTAAAAAGTTAGTAAATAATGGATGACGTATGATGAAGTATTAAAAAAGTGTTTGGAAGAAATACAAGGAGTGGATGTATGTGTATATATATGTATATATATATACACACACACATAGTATTGTTAGAGTCACCACAGTTTCTGCTAACATCACTACAGTTTTTAATATTGGTATTACCACCTACCCAACATCTTTATTTTATTTTTTATTCTTATTTAAAAAATTGACATTTTCATTATGTATTTTTTTTGAAAATGTATAAAAACCTAATTTAAATTTAATAAAAATAATAAAATAAGTTGCTTTAATAGGAATAAAAAAATTGGTGGCATTTGCAACACCCTATATATAGTTACTATTATTAATAAAATATATAACATTTAATCTTTGTATTTAATTTTCTACTTCAATTTTTTACAATGAATAAATATATTTAAAATAAAATGAATTTAAAACTTAAAAAGATTTTTTGTATGTTATAATCAAAACCTCATCACAAATATTTACTTTTTTATATTCAAAACATGCTTTTAATCTTTATTAATTTTTTAGCTCAATATTAAATACATAAGAGAGTTTTGAAAATGACACAAAATAGAAATAAAACATTAGCATAATAATAATTTTGGTATAATATAAACTGTGCTTCCTTTTTGTATGCTTTAATCCATTCTGTGCATGTTCAATATTCCAGAGCTTCCTCTGAATACATTTTCTCTGGATAAACAAATAGACACTGATGGGTGTATGAAATTGTTGAAGTCCCTTGAAAGAGTACATTTTTGTTCTCTCCTTTACTTCTTTATGTGTTTATTTCACAAATGGAACCTGGAAGCTTTACTGAATAAAGAATCTCCATAATCATTTTTGAGCAAATTAAATGGACAAGAAAGTTTTAATTTCAGCTCCACACTCATGTATATAGAGAGAAAGAGAGAGAGAGCAAATGACTAAATTCAAAAATCTTCCTACACTTTCATTGTTTTGTATAGCTATAATAAATGTATCTTATATATTTTATTTTTTAAAAGGTATAAAGCTGATTTCATATTCATGACATCAACCAACATAACATGCAAAAAAAAGTACATTATACTTATTTTACTTAAATACCCACATGATTTCTTTTTTAAAAGGATGATTTCATAAATTTACGCCTTTGGCACCCATGGGATTCAGCAGTTCTTTTTAGGTCAAGCTTGAAAGCTCCATTCAAATATAACTCACAGGGACAAGGAAAAATATTGATATTGAAATCCAAAAAACTAAACAACCTACAGTAAGAAGAAAGAAAAAAAAAAAGGTGCTTACAGATGCCAACCAGCTTGAGTATGAACATAGCCTGGAGACCATCTTCCCATGTCCCTCATAGTTATTATTATTATTATTATATATATATATTGATTAGTAGCTTAAGACATCATGACCTGCGAGTGGGCAGGTCGGGCAGTGCAGGCAGCTGGGGAGATGAGGCTGAAGGGGGGCTTTGCAGCCCTGCCCCTCTGTTCCCTTTAGAGTGAGTGCTTCAATTTCTGATTTCCACATACAGCTTTCTGACTTTTGGGTTGAATGAAAGGGCATGACGAGTTTTGAAGGCAGGAATAAATTTAAAATTTTTAAAATTTTTAAAAAATTAAAATTTAAAAAAAATATATATATATATATATATATATATATGAAGAGACAGCTTGAGAGAGAGAGAGAGAGAGAACTAGAAGAAGAAGAAGAAGAAGCAGGGCTAATGAAAATGGTTTCACTGGCAAAATAGTGATATAAAATAAGGCCAAGTTTTGTTTGGGGTGGAGCTTTTAAGTACTCCAAGAAGACAAGAGATCTGAAATGAGAAGGCAAGTAGATTGTGTGTGTGTTTTTATTTGTAATTCACTGCTTATTTTGAAGGGTGAATCCCAGTTGCTCTCAAACAAGATTATTGTGTGATCAACAGTGTTTTAAAACCCATCACAACTGAGTTGACGGCAGCATCAAAAAATAAAAAAATAAAGGAGGGGGGGGGGGCAGACTGAAGCAAAAGCAAACATCCATGGATGAAGAGGAGGTTTAAAGTCTACCCAAATACCATGTGAACTGTAAGCATCACATGCTTATTCTACACTACACCTGTTCCAACACACTCTCTTCCAGATGCTGCTGAGTCACCAGTCAATTAAAAAATATACTATTGTATGATTGAATAAAATGGTGTCTGTTGTGACCAGTGTGGTCTTCCGGGAACCTTTGAGAACCAAAAAACTCCACATGTACAATATTGCTTGGAAATGCATCAACCCCTTGAATGGACAACTTTCAACAAAAATGGATGAAAGTTCAGCATGTGGCCATCAGGCTTGGTTACCCTTTTATTGGGCCTAGTGTACAAAACCAGCTTTCTTTTGCAATGGAATTGTATGTGAGTGTGTGGGTGATGAGCATAAATCCTTTTACAACAAAAAGAGTCCAAATGAGTAAAGAGGGATCAACTCCCAATGCTGAAACGATGTTTATTTTGCCTCTCCATCTGTGCCCAAAAAGAGACATGAAACCTTATATCTTTGACTATGCTTAAAATAAATAAAATAATTGTAGACATGCACAAGATATAGTGCATGTCCACAATTAGTAAAAATTTTCTTATTTCTTTTTTCTTTTTTTTTCCCCCTTTCTCCTTTTTCTTTATAAAGTTGTTTCAGCTTACAATACAGAATGGGGCACTGTGGGTAGGAGTCAGCTCTATTGTACTTAAAAATACAGAATGA